CAAAGGCCCTGAGTTCAGTCCCTAGTACCAAAAACAGAAAAAATAGAGTGCCTAAATGTATTTTTAAATACTATATGTTGCCTATAGGACACTTACATTAGAGTCAGAGACTGTACATGGGACACAAGTGAAAGGATGGAAAAAGATGCTCAGTGCAAGTGGTAACCGGAAGAGAACAGGTTGACAGTACATAGGTCAGACAGCCAACCACACTTGAATTAAGAAACTGTTACAAGAAGCAAAAAAAAAGTCAATCCACCAGAAAGATATAACTAAATATGCACCCAGTATCTAAATATGTAAAACAAAGAGTCATAGAAATGAAGGGAAAGTTAGCAATAAGAAGGGACTTTAATACCTCATTTTCAATATGGGTAGAATATCCAGACCAAAAGATCAATAAGGAAAGAGCTGAACTGGAAACTTCATAAGTACACTGAGATCAAGTGAAGCCAGCGGATACAGAATGACCACACAATCCTTAGGAAACTGTTAAACTCAAAAGGGATAGACAGAGTGCAAGTAGAAGGACAAGATTATATCCCCTTAACAGCAATGGGGTCTCACTTTCCCTCGAAACTACTGATCCTCGAGTGAGGCACAATGATAGAAAAAAAGAACATTAAGAAAAAAGAAAAAAATGATAAAAGAAGAAATCTGAGTCAGGGCAGGAGCAGAACAGAAAGGGATATGAGGGACAATATGGTGGAGCAAGAGACTGAGTTGGTGAAAGAGGACAGAAAAAAGAATCTAGAGTGAAATGAAGAAAAGAAAAGAACAAAAAAATGACTTTGAAGGGCCTCTTTCAGACTATATCTCTGCCGTCACAATACACATCATGTGCAGCCATGTACAGAACCAAATCCCCCTATCTCAGCTAATGTCCTATGGAAAGATTAAAGGACAATAATAATAAGTGCTACAGGAAAAAAAATTCAATTCATGATTTTTTAAAAATCTCAACACTAAAATTAGAAGGGGTCTTGTTAATCTAATAAAGATTATTTTAAAATATCTATAGCAGGGCTGGGGGTTTTGCTCAGTCATAGCATGCATGAGGCCCTTGCTTTGATCACCAGCACCAAAAAATCAACAACAACGAACTATAGCAACATAATACTTAATGGTGAACCATTATAGCTTTCCATTTGAGATTAGGCATGAGATTACAATGTCCTTTTGGTTTTTGGTTTTTTGGTTTTTTTTTTTTTTTGAGACAGGGTCTCACTATATAGTTCAGGCTGGCTTAAACTCACTATGTAGCCCAGGCTGGCCTTAAACTCCCAGAGATCCTCCTGACTCAGCCTTCCAACTGCTGGGATTACAGGCGTGCACCACCACTCCTGGCTACAGTGTCTTTTATTACCAGTTCTATTTCTGAAAGTGTTGGCCTATCCAGCTAGGCAAGAAAAATAAAATTATTGAATTGAAAAGAATGAAGAAAACTTGTAAAGATGTGGAACAAAAAAAAAATACATGTTGGTTGGAAAATAAATAGTATGACCACTTTAGAAAACAGTAGCTTTTTTAGTCATTTTGATAATGCTGGAAAATACACACTATGTTGTATAAAATGCTGTATATACATCTATCAGTTACCTTCCTGGATATATACCCTAGAGAAACTTTATAACTATACATTGATATGTGAATAAGTTTATAATAGTGAAAATGTTCATCAAGTAAATACATTGTAGATAAATAAATGGGTATTTCAATCCAATTAAATAATACACTGTACCTATGGTAGAGGTGTAGTACTTGCTTGGCATACATTAGGCCCTGGGTTCAATTCCCAGCATGGACCAAAAATAAATAAATAAATAGTATGTAGCATCAAAAATGAGTAACTTCAGGGCCAGGGATTTAGCTCAGTGGTGCTGTGCCTGACTTGCAAACTCAAGCTCAAGGTCCTGAGTTTGATCCCTGGTATAAATAAATAAATAAATAAATAACTCGGGTTGGGGATGTAGCTCAGTAGTGCTACACCTGCCTGCCTAGCAAGCACAAGGTTCTGAGTTCAATCCCCAGTACTGGAAAAAAAAAAAGAGGAAGAAAATGAATAACTCATGACCATGACCATATAAAACATAACTGAATCATAAAAGACAAGACAACTGCAAATGCATATAATACTATTCTATTGTAATATGAGATTCAGGTTCATTTAAATTCTATTAAAATTCAAAATAAACAGTATTATTTACAAATGAGTATTTAGGTGACCAGTTTTATTATTAAATGCTGTATATAAAAAAGTATTTATTGGGCTGGGTATGTAGCTCAGTGGTAGAACATTTGCCTAACAAATGTATAGCCCTGAATTCAATCCTCAGCACCATAAATAAAAAAGGGAATGGGAGTTCTTTTTTAAAAAAATGTTTATTATGTAAAGTCAAGAGAGTGGTTTCCTCTGAGGAGGAAGGCAGAGAGTTTGATTGGAAATAAACACATAAAGGATTTCTGGGCTCTTAATAGGAATCTATTTCCTAACCTGGGCAGTGTTACCAAATCAGAGGTCTTGTCCAGATTCTTGATGTCCTGAACAAGGAATTGAGCAGAACACCCAAAAGGAGGAGCAAGATCAAAATTTATTGAAAATGAAAGTGCACTCCACTGGGTTAGAGTAGGCCAGTGAGAAGAGCTCAAGACCGGAAAGAGGCTTGGTACTGAGGGTTTTAAACTTTAGGTTTTGCAGTGGGATTAAAAGGTTGGTGTGATGGCTTGGCCCCTGAGGAAGCTTGGATCTGCCCCTCTCTCAGGCAGTAAAGTATGGTTTTTGTTCTTTAACCTTTTATGGCCCTTAAAAGAACTGTCAGGACTTCAAAGGGGGGGGGCATCAAAACTGCATAGTCATTGACATGGTAATTAGAGCTGAGTCAGCCAAGGATTGCTGGAAACCACTGGGCTTATGCCTAGAGCCTTACTGTGTATAAACAAGGTTACCTGGTTACTTTCTCCCATTGTGTTTAGACCTGGGTACCCTCATCTTGAGCTAATGTTTAACTCACAAGATAGGTCTAGCCCAGAAAGCAGGCTCCAAGGCAGAGCCCCCTCTTCCTTCTCCAGCCAATTTCTTTAGCTATTTCCTGCCTCAGAGGTACTTTCCTACTGTACAGTTGTAGTCTGTGCAGGTGTGGGTTGGTTGGATTTTTTTTTTTTTGTATTTAATATTTAGCACTTAAATGTTCCCACTAGGATCAATTTTTTAAGTAGTGATACCCACCCAATGTTCAATATAGATGAAAAGAGGAGCCAAATCTCAGAAGATGTGGAAGCAAAGAGCATAGGAAAATAGATTTAATCTTGGTCAAGAAGAAATGGGCACCTCTTTTCTTTGGAGACTAGGAATGGGAGAAAGAATACGGGGGGTGGGGAAGAGCCATATGATTGCAGAAATCTTTGAGAGAATTAAAAAGAATCGGGATTTATACTGTTATAAAATGAGAAATACAACTTTGCTCAAAGTAAAGTTAAAGAGAAGGAAAGGAGCTAGGAAATTACCTTTTCTTTGGGTTTTGAAAGATATTTAAAATCTGATGTAACCAGAATTTAACTTGGTATTGAACTTCATATGTTTTGTTTTTGTTTTTTTTTGTACCGGGAATCAAACTCGGGTTATTGCACTTGCAAGGCAGGTGGAGGAACCACTGAGCTAAATCCCCGGCCCATTCTGATATTTTTTATAAGCAGGATCTTAATATTTTTCTCAGAAGTTAGCATGACTTAATTATATCATTGCAATTACTTTTTTTACTATATTACTTTTATTGGTGCATGTTCATATTCCTTGTGGGGAGTTATTATGTGTACCTAACACATCTTAATTCTTTTTTTCATCCCCTTCCTCTCTCCTTTTTAAAATGTAATGAGCCTGGCAGGTGGTACATGCCTGTAATCCCAGCACTTGGGAGGTTGAGGCAGGATTGCCACGAGTTCAAGGCCAGCTAGGACTATATAGCAAGGACTATATATCTCAAAAAAAAAAAAAAAAAACCAGTGTAATGAAAGGCACCTCTCTCTTCAGGGCTTACATTCTGTTTTCTTTAAATGTGTACTTTAAATTCTCGGTAATAATTTTACTGACACATCCTGAAAATTATTTTTTTGTGACGAAAGTCATCAAACTTGCAACCTGCCCTGTGTATTAGACATAACCTCCAGAACCTGATAAGCCAGAATCTGCCAGGATAATTGCTTTCATCTGTTAGCTTAGAAAGCAGAGACTATTTCCCACCAATACTTTATGTAATAAGGATGAGACTCCATTGACAGCAAACTTCCTTCAAATCATGGTAGAAAACAGAATCAATCTGTATTATCATATACAACAGCAAGTGAATAAATGAGAAAATGAAGAACCTTAAGTTATTGCTAAGGAAATGGCAATGATGCAGAATTCCTGGGAATATGTGATACCTTTTTTTATTTAAGTTTGTGCATTACCATAATGATTAAGATGTTTTTGGGCCAGGATTTAACTCAGTGGTGGTGCTGCCACCTGCCTGCCTGCCTCACAAGCTCAACGTCCTGAGTTCAGTCCTGGTACCAAAAACAAAAAAAAAATATTTTCACTGTAATTTCAACTCACTATAACAATTAAAGGACAACAGAAGGGAATCAAGTCTATAACTCTCAAATACTTTATTTTTATTTTTATTTTTGGTACTGGGGTTCAAGCTCAGGACCTTGCACTTATGAAGCAGGCACAGTGCCACTGAGCTAAATCCCTAGCATATACTTTATTTTTCAAATCAAGGTGTATATACATATGATTGGATAGCTTTTTCCTTTGGTTTTAGTTGAGTTGTTGTGGATTAAAATAAGAGTGTGCAGAAGCAAAGTATGTCTTGTAAAATAAAATTTCTGTGTTCCAAAAAAATGCAATGAAAGATAATAAATGTTTACATTTAGTCGAAAGCGCTAATTTGAGTGGCAAAATATACTTCCTTTGCCAAAGAATAATGATTGTACTGACTTCATTTTTCTTTCTTGTTCAGGTTATGTATGGAATGTTGGTCTTTACATTAGTACTTCGATCTGTTTATATTGTTACATGGTAAGTACCTTGGATCATCATCCATCAATACTATGATTAAAGTATATCTAGACTTTATAACAGTATATCTTGCTGGGCATGCTGGCACATGCCTGTAATCCCAGCACTTGGGAGGCTGAGGCAGGAGGATCACTGTGAGTTAAAGACCAGCCTGGGCTACATCATGAGTTCCAGGTCAGTCTCACTACAAAGTGAGACCCTGTCTCAAAAAACCAAAACAAACAAACAAACAAAAAAAAAAAACCAGTAAATCTTGACCCTAAACTGAAATAACAAATAAAACCCAACTAACTCCAGCAGGCATATTGATAGAAACCTGTAACTTGACATTTTTTATAGTATATGGAATGCTAGTTTTTCAGGCAAGTTGTTAATTGGCATCATGTAAAAAACATGAGCTTGAAAATTAAAACTTGAGGAAAGCTGTGTATGATGGCAACTTTTTGAATATGTATAACTGACTAGGATATTAGACTTTGAACAATACTACAGTTTTTAAAAATTGTTGTTAATGTTCTGAAACTTACTAGGAAATCTGCTTTACATAACACTTCTTAGTGAAGAATATTGTCACAAAGAAATATTTGGGTTCCATGACACATCATTTGGGAAATCACCATAATCTTTTTCATAAGAGTTAATGGAAATGAAATAACATTCATGAGAGTACCTTACTTAAGTCCTAGCCATACAGCGGTTCCTCAGTAAAAAAGTGGTGTGATTTGTTTGTTTATTCTTTTTATCTGGTTGTTTTTCTCTTGTAAATAAAGTTTTCATTTTGAGATAATTATAGAAATGTGCGTGCATTTGCAATAAATAATAGAGATCCTCATATCCTTTACCAATTGTCTCCTATGGTAGCATGTTACAAAACTATAATACAGTATCCCAACCAGGATTTGACATGGATACAGTCAAGATGCAAAACATTTCCCTCAATGTAAGGATCCCTGTGTTACCCTTTTCTAGCCACACCTACTTTTTTCCCACCCTCCACTCCCTATCCTTAACCACTGGCAATTACTAATCTATTCTCCATTTTTATAATTTTTAAATTTCAAGAATATTATATAAATGTAGTCATACAGTGCGTAACCTTTCAAGTTGTGTACTTTGCTGACTATGTCAATAGTTCATTGCTTTCTATTACTGAGTAGTATTTTATGGTACAGATGTATCTCAACCATTCATCTATAGGGTGACATCTAAATTATTTACAGTTTGGGGCTATCATAAATAAAGCTGCTGTGAACATCTGTATGTTTTTTGTGTGGATTTAATTTTCATTTTTTTAATAAAAGCCCATAATAAAATTGCTAAGTTCTTTGGAAATTGTATTTTTTAGTTTCTTGTCAAAACTGTTGAATCTTTTCTAGAGTAGCTTTACCATTTTTACATTCCCATCAAGAATGTTTGGGTGATTCAGTTCTCTGCATCCTCACCAGCATTTATTGTTGTCACCATTTTATTTCAGCAATTCTAATAGATGTGTACCACCATCCTACATTTTGCATTTCTCTAGTGGTTAATAGCATTGAATACACCTTTATGTGCTTATTTACTATTAATATGTCCTCTTTGGTGAAATATCTGTTTATGTCTTTCCCCATTCTCTTTTTTTGTTCATAACAAGAGTTAATAAGAGGGCTAGGGATTTAGCTCAGTGGCACTGCCACCTGCCTCATAAGCACAAGGTCCTGAGTCTAATCTGTAGTATAAAAAAAACAGAATTAATAAGAATAGTATTCAGGGTGTGTTAGTAATATTGCTTCATTCCTGATATTGATGATGTAATAACTCTTTGTCCCATGGGCATTGCTTAATGTGTCTCAAATTTTATTGCTCTTTTAAAAACATCTTTGTTTAACTATATTTTTCATCTTTTCAGTTTCACTAATTTCTTCTCTTTATTATTTCTTTCCTATTGCTTGCTGTGGGCTTGTTTTGCACTTCTATTTCCAAGTTCTTAAGGTAGAACTTTATATTATTGATTTCAGACTTCCCACATTCCTCATAATATTTTGGATGTTATAAATTTCCCTCTAAGTACTGTATTAGATATGTGTCACAACTTTGCTGTACTTTAATTTTCAACCAGCTCAATATATACATATATATATTTTTTAATATCCCATGAGATTTTTTTTCCTGGACCTATAGATTACTTAGAAGTATATTGCTTAACATTCAAACGTTTGGATATTTTCTTGTTACCATTCTTCTTGATTTTTCATTTGATAACATTATACATCAGAGAACATACTAGTGTGATTTCTTTTAAATTTGTTGAGATTTACTTTGCTATACCAAGAATATTTATGCCAAGGATATCTTGGCATATGTTCCATGTGTCCTTGAAAAAAATACGTATTCTGAGCCAGATTCTGGAAGGCTGAGACAGGAGGAACAAAGTTTCAAGAAAGTCCAGACTAGGTGACTTAGCAAGACCCTGCTTCAAAATAAAAAATGAAAAGGGATGGGTATGTAGCTCAGTGTGACGGTCATGGAATCAAACCCCAGTACCACCAAAGAATAAAATGTATTCTGCTGTTGTTGAGAGAAATTGTCTATAAATGTTGACTAGGTCCTGTTACTTATGTCATGGTTCCCCCAAAACCACCCTCAGATACAGTGATTGACTAGAAGGGTCCAAAAAACTTAGTAAAGCTATTATACTTAATGATTATTATTATCTACAGATTAAACTGATATAGTATTGTTTAGAACACCAGCCAAACACAAACTGTTGTTCACTATAGATCATACTAGCACAAACTACCATGACTCAAAATGTGAAGTATACAAAGTCTTTCACTGCACAGAATTTTTCAAGGAATCAGATGTTATCTCACATGAGTTAGTCAAGGGCCAGTCTTTTCTCTGGAATGTGCAGTGTTTGTGCTCCCCAAGCCTACTCTTTAATGCACAGTGGTATTGTTGAGTTTTATATTGTTGATTTTCTATCTAGTTCTATCAGCTGTCAAGAGAGGAACAATAAAGTCTCCGAACACGATTTAGGATTTGTGCCCATTTTCTTTCTGTGAGTTTTTGTATCCCATGCAGCACTATTTTGTTTTGTTTTTTGGTACCAGGGATCAAACTCAGTACTTTATGCTTAAGAGGTAGGTGGCAGCACCACTGAGCTAAATCCCTGGCCAAGCTCTGCTGTTCGGTGTACAGAATTGCTATGGCTTCTTGTTGGATTGATCTTTTTGTCATATAATATCTCTATGCGTCTAGTAATTTCCTTTGCTCAGAAGCTGGCAGGAGGCATTCCAGAAGTTTGTGGCAGGAGGTTCTCAAGTTCAAACCCAGCTTGGACAATTTAGTGACCTGTCTCCCCACCCCACCCCAGAAAAGGGTTGGGAATATTGCTCAGTAGGAAGCCCCTGGGCTCAGTCCCCAGTAGCACTAAATAAATAAATAGGGCTGGGGATATTTAATTTCTACTACCACCAAAAAAAAAGAAAATTAACAGCAACCTTGTGAAATAAAGACACATTTCTTCCATCTACCTTGCCACCACTTCTTTTTCTGTATCTCTATTTAGTAATTATTTCAGTTAGCATTGTTTATTGTTTACTTGTCTATCTGCCCAACCACATTGTGAACTTCTTAAAGTTTTGGTTAATTTGGTAATCCCTAGAACATAATATCTTGTGTATCCAAAAATATCAACTAGAAAAACATTTTTTGAGACAGGATCTCACTATATAGTCTAGGCTGACCTTGAACTCACTGTGTACCTCAGGCTGGCCTCAGACTCATGGCATCCTCCTGCTTCAGCTTCCCAAGTGCTGAGATTACATCAATTAGAAATTTTAAAACTGCTGTTTAGTTTTTTAAATATGCCTGAGAAGACATTTGAAAATCCTTCCTGTAACAAAATATAATAAATGCTTTAAAAAAACCAACTAGATAAAATACAATCCTTTAAATGTTGAGCTGAACTCAAAGGAATATAAAGAAAATTCCAAGCCAGGCATAGTGGCACATACCTGTAATGCCAGTGCTGTAGGAAGCTGAGGCAGAAGGATCAAAACTGATCCCAGCCTGGGCACTTAGTAACTCAGTGAGACCCTGTCTCAAAATAAAAAAGATGTTACAATGTAGCTCAGTGCAAAGGCCCTGGGTTCTATCCCCAGTACTATGAAAAAAGAAAAAAGAAAGAAGGGGAGGAAGGGAAGGGCAAGTGGGGAAAAAGGAAGGGAAGGAAAAGAAAAAAATTCCACGCATCACATCTAAAGAAGCAGCTGCAGACTAAAGTGACAAGTGAATGCTTAAATCATAGCCGACTTGAAGGCATTTGAAGATACCACGAAATCGGAGCCTTCACCTTCAATACCCTCATAATTCAATATCCTGATAATTTTTGACATGTTTAAGGTGGGCAGCTGGAACTGTTTTTCTGTCATCATGCACACATACATAAAACCCCAGTACCATCACAGAGTTATATACTCAGTGAAGGGCTGGGCCAGAAAAAAAAATTTGCTCTCCAGTAAAAGAAGAGAGTAATGCAACTTGTCATTCAGCCCTCTGTTTTAGGTAGAAAAAAAATGACTCCTCTGAGAATTTGTAAAGGATGGTGCCCTTGAGGTGCCACGGTGCCCCCACCTAAGAGTGTAGCTGTTCCCAAGTCTCTCCTGGATGCAAGGACCAAGTGATGCTTGTTTTTCAGATTAACACCAAGTACTACTTACTGCATCCCTCTCCAGCCAGAGTAGGCACAGTCCCAATTCTGTGCAGGGAACAGAATATCTATGACACAGCTTTCTGGAGTATCCATTTTACTGAGATTTGGAAGAAACAAATTTAGATGACTTTAGAGAACCATCTCTACTCCCTAACAAACAGGGAAGAAAAGTCAGAGAAGAGCATCAGAGAGCAAAGAGCCCTAAGAAGTTCAATTTCGTCTCTGTAATTTTCTTAGTCTCAGTAAATGACAAGAGTCTCCTTAGGAAAAAATACCATTTGATGGTCCAGAAGACCATGGCTTTTCAGTATATGGTGGTCATTTATAGAGTGAGGGGTTGAGCTGAATATCTCGAGATGAAATAAGAAAATATTAAAATTTTAATGTTATTTTATCTAATTACTATATATCTTTCTGGTTATGGTTTATAACATGAAGTATACTAATATAACTATCTATAGTTTATAAATAATTATACATAAAAAAGAAATACATATGTCTTTATTGTAGGCCATTCAGAATTTCTACAAATGGAAGTCAAATATATACACATAATAATTCAAAAAACACAGGAAGAAATAAACATCCATAAGCAAAAGATAGGAAAAACAAAAGAACTCCCTCAAATCGGATGCTGATGCATAATGGAACTATTTAGAAAATGTTTGATGAAATAAATATAAAGTGAAAATGAGGTCAAGTAATGAGAGATTATTAAAAAGTGAAAAACAGGTTATGAAAGAGGAACTGGCATGAAAAATAAAATCATTGAAATAAATTCAGTGGAAAAGTCAAAAGAAGATTGACACAGTTAAAGAAAAACTTAAACAGGAAGACAAGTCTAAAAAAAAATACACCAGAAAACATCAGAGAAATAGGGCTGGGATGTAGCTCAATGGTACCATACCTTACCAAGTGCAAGGTCCTGAGTTTGATCCCCAATACCAAGAAAAAAAAATCAGAGAAATAACTTATGTCTAATTACAGTTTCAAAAAGAACAGAAAAAGTTTTTTTAAAAAATAGATAATAGGTGAGAATTTTCTATAATTGATAAAACCCACAATTCCATCTTCAAGAACAACAACAAATCTTAGCAAGATAAAAGAGAATCTTTCTGAAGTACAGCAAATATGAGAGATAGCCCTCTTCAGCATCATTCCAACCTTCTTAAAGTCAGTCTTCCTGTGCTATAGGTAATAAGAAGTTAATATTTCCCATATATCCTTTGCAGGTAAGATTTCGTATAGCATTCTGGTTCTGCCAATCACATGTATTCACATGAGACTTGAAAACCAAACTCAGGAAGGGAGAAGAGATGGTTATATTTAAGGCATCCACTTATTGGTGTGGATCTAAAATATGCCTAGTGACTGGAGCAAACAATTGTGATGGCAGCTGCTTGATCTGTGATACCAGGTAGTATAGTTGGTTCAAAGGCTTCCCAATCCTAATTGTGACAAAGAAAATTTTCATTTGGGTGTGGTTTATAATATTTGAAGTATACTTACACAACTATATAGATTTGTATGCAGCATTGAGCATTAGTCATTCCAGAACAGTCTTCATTTTGTTCATTTAGCATTTTTGTTAGGAGTAAAAGTATAAAATTACTTTCTACTTAAAAGAGAATTGTTTCTGTTATTGCAATTAGATCCAGATAGATACTTAGAAAAAAAACCTACTGATGTTGCTGAAACTCAAAATTCATAAAAGCATCTAGAAATAAGACATGATACTAATAGAGGACTAATAATTGATCTACTGCAGACTTACTAGCACCAGCAGTGGAAGCCAAAACACAGCAGACTGTTATCTTCATAGTGCTGAAAGAAATAACCATCAACTTGGAATTCTATACCTAAATATCTTTTAAGAGCAGGGTGATATAAAGGTACTGAAAGACAAACAAAAATTGAGTTCAACAATACAAATTTATTCATAGTTTTGTGTTCTGCAGTCAAGCACAATCCAAAAATATTGAGTAGAAAATTCAAAAAAATAAACAATTCGTGTTTTAAATGAGAAGCTAAAAGTGTAGCTAAGGATAAAAATGTATAATAATGTGAAATAGGAAGAAAATGTCAGAAGGGGAAGTGGGAGGTATAGGGGAAAGGAATAAATATAAGAAAAAGGAAAAAACAGAAACTAAGTTTTTGTAAATAAGCAGGGGTGGAGGGGTTGACAGGAGGACAAGGGGAATGGGAAAAAATAAGAACCAAGATATATCATGTAAAGGTACAAATTCCCAATGATGACCATCATCATTGTATACCTAAAATGTACCAGTAAAATTAATGAATTTTTTAAAAGATATTTTAAAAATTTAAAACATAAATATAATTGTCAAAAAGAGTCCCTTTTAATGTTAGACTTTCATGGCTTTAGGAAGCAGCATTTGCCATGATGGCCAGGGGATTCTGGTAGCCAACCAAGAGTGATATTTCAAGTGAACCATTGAGCTGAGCCAGCTTAGAAGAGGGAGCAAGAGCCAAAGTGACCAGGGCAATGGCCAGGGAAACTCACTGTACCAAGTTAGTTACTTGGACAGATAAGTGCCTAATACCAGCATGCAAGACACAGACCAGATCCTGATGGGGAAGTCCTGCTGGCTGTTGTTTTAGGTTTCCTCAGACAGATTCCCATGAACCTCCTCAGAATACATGGCAGGCAGTGTTATCTCCATCTTCCCTATTATAATTGTGTGTATGATGGACTGGCAACCCATTCAGGCACTTATGACCATTTGAGCCACTTTGCAGATGCTGGAAACCTCAAGCGAGAAATTTCTTCAGGTTTTAGTCTACTTCATTGGGACCCTAATGGGTTTGGCACTGGCTGTTTACAAATCCAGTTCATCAGACTTTTGTCTACATTTGCATCAGACTAGTTGCTTTCATTGAGCCCAGGAGAGGAAGGAGTTCAGTGGTGGAGAGAGGACTGCTTTTGGGCATTGGAGAAAGAGGCACTCAGTGCCTACGTACCTGAGCCTCATTTACTTCCTTAAGCCCAGTGGTCCCTAAGTGTACTCTTTAGATAAGCACTCACATTGAAAAGAACCAAAAAGATCTCCATGGTGAGGAGACAGATCCTAGAAGAACAACCTGCCTTTTACTACAAACATAAAGAAACTATACTGCGACCCCTGGATGAAAATAAACTTTATGATTATAGTGCAGAGCAAAACAACAAATAAAACCAGAACTACATGTAACAAAAGAATGGTTGCTGCGAGATCAAGAATCATACCAGCATCTCCTTTCAATATTCAGTGGTTGAAAGCCGAGCATGGTAACACACACCTGTGATCCCAGCACTCAGGAGACTGAGGCAGGAGGATCTCCATGAGTTTGAGACAAGCTTGGGCTACATAATAAGTTTAAGCCCAGCCTGAATTATATAGTGAGACTCTGTCTTCAAAACAAAACAAAAACCAAATGCTGGTGGGATTTTTGTTTTTAGTTTTCAACCATTACAAATAAAGCAGCAATGAACATTCATGATTAAGAGCTTGTTTAGAAATAAGCTTTCATTTCTCTTGGGTAAATAGGAGAGGGATGGCTGGGATGTATGGCACTTGAATATTTGACTTCTTAAGATAATGCCAATTGTTCCCCTCTTTTTTGTGGTCTTGGAGATGGAATGCCTTATACATTCTAAGAAAGAACACCAGCTCTCCAAAATGTTTTCCTAAATGATGGCACCAGTTTCCATTTTCATCAACCATGCATGAATGTTCGTTCCAGTTGTTTCACATCTTCATCAATGCTTTTTGTGTCAGTTCTTTTCACTTTTGCTGTTCTAGCAGTGATATTTTACCACTGTAGTGGTATTTCACTGTTTTTAATATTCATCCCATTAATGACTAATCCAGTTGATCATGTTTTTATGTACTTATTGCCATCCATATGTCTTCTCTATACAGTGTTTCTCTGCCTGGCTGCCCTTGAACTCACTGTGTAGCCCAGGCTGGCCTCAAATTCATGGAGAACCTCCTGCTTCAGCTTCCCAAGTGTTGGGACTACAGGTGTGCCACCACATCAGCTCCATTAGCTTTTGGACAAATAAACAAATTGTGTTATATCCATACAATACAGTGCTACTCAGAAATAAAAGGGAATTGAATAATGATACACTAAACAGCATGGATGAATCTCAAAATGGCAAGTGAAAGAAGCCATACAATAAAGACTATAAATTATATACTTCCCTTTTTAAAATAATGCAGAATAAACTTTTGGAGGTGATAAACATCTTTGTTATCATAAATGTGAGGTAGTTTCGTGGATATATACATGGGTATTTATCAGAGGTATACTTTATACAGCATACAATTTAGCTCATGAAAGTGATAAAAAATGAATAAGCTGCTGTTACTATTTTCACTAACTTACCATGCTTCAGTTTTCCCAACAGTGAAGTAAAAAAATACTTGCCTCAATGGTTTATTAGAAAACTTGGTGGACAGAGAATATATATACAAATACCTAGTCCAAATAGTATTTCATGTCACTCTTCTTTTATCGGGCCTTATTTTTCTGCAAAGCTTTTATCACCATTATGCATTTATTTACTTGTCTACCTCCCTGACTATAAGTTCACTGAGATCAGAAACATCATCTTCACTCTCATAGGCTTAGAACAATACATGGCACATATTAAGCACTCAGTACATATTTTTAAGTGATTTAATGAATATTTATGTGGGTATAACTTATAGTCTGCCAGAGCATGTGTCTCAATCCACATTAAATCTAATCAACCATCCTCCTATCTCTTCTATGACACCGAAAAAGTTGCTGGATGCTTGTGCATTACCTCACTGAAATACTTAGCAAAGTCTTTGTGGCTCATTCTTTCTCAATACCTTTTAATGGCTAAAAATATTTAGCAGATACACAGATTTAGGAGGTTAATGTAGGAAAATCACTTGAGCCCAGGAGTGCAAGGCCAGACTGGCCAATAAAGGAAGACCTTGTTTCTATAAAATGTATGTGTGTGAGTGTGTATGTGTGTATGTCTGTGTGTCTGTATCTGTATCTGTATCTGTGTGGTGTGTGTAGACATACGTAATTTAAGGAATTTAATATTTTTTCTCAATGCTAATAAAAACCTTTCCTTCTCATGAAGTGCCGGCTTCAATCTCTGATCATGTTATGACTTAGAAATTTTTCATTCTGCTTTCTTTTTTCCCCACAGGGTTTATCCATGGCTTAGAGGACTAGGTTATACATCCTTGGGTATATTTTTATTGGGATTTTTATTATGGAACATAGATAACATCTTTTGTGATTCACTGAGGTAAGATATATTTTTATTCCTTGAGAAATATTCATGGACGCATTCTACCAAACAATTTCATAGGCATATAGAAATACCAATGCCATAAAATGGCATTTTGATAGTGTTGACATTTAGAAAGTATGGACAGTACAATAAAGTTAAATTCTAGAAATAACCTTTTTAAATTACCTAAAAGTTTGAAACTGAGAGTATTTCATTACCTCTGAAGGCTTTGAGTCTTTTGTGTGTATGTATCTTTCATACATGCCTAATCTGTTTTGTTGAGTAAATAAAAATGATTTGTATTAAGCATATGAAATACATGTATATAAATTTTTACTTTTGTATGGTTAGTGTCTTTTTCTAAGAAAAGATTAGTGTTCCTTTTACCATCTTGTCAGCAATTATGTATTGATAAATTTGAATCTTAAATTTAGGACTCTGGACTTTTGTCAGTAATATGCTATCTTTCTGGGCCTCAACTTTACTAAAGTCAGTGTTTTAAATAGATTAAATTATTGGGTCACTCCAACTTAAAATTCTGTGACCTGTCAATTTTGCATAAATGTGGAGGACAGGCGGAATATATCAAATAGCACCACAGGATAGTTCTGAGTCAGCAAAATTCAGACTAGGGAAAATTACAGGTGGAACCATCTCATCTCTACAGCAAATACAGGGGCAGGGAAGGGGGTACACAGAATGGGACATATGGATAAGAAACTTAACAAATATATTAACCAGATGCAATGTGTTAGGCTTTTCTTGAATCCTGATTCATATAAACCAACTGTAAAAAACAAAAATAAAAATATCTGAGAAATCTGGAATTCTGGTCAATAATTAAATATTGATGATATTAAGGGATTATTATTAGTTCAGGTGTAAAGATGGTATTGTGGTCAGGTGGTCATTTTAAAGAAGTTTTATCTTTGAGAGATACATACTGAAATAAAGATAAAATGATACACTATGTGGGACTTCAAAATAGCATGGAAGGAGAAATGGATAAAAATTTAGATGACACAGATTGAACTGTAAATTGATAATCCTTGCTCTTGGGTAATAAATGTATTATTTTTTGTGTACTTGTGCACATGTGTGAAAGTCCCCATAGAAAAACATTGAGTAAACTTAGACTTTAAGTGTAGGCAAACAAGTAATGCATCTTACTTCAAAAACTAAGATCTAAGTATATGATTCTAAATCGAGAATAACAGCAGAACCCCCAATAGAGCTTTGATACTGCTGAGTCATCCCCTGGCTAGGAACCACTAACTTACAGTGCAGGCTCTTACAGATGGTAACTGTCTCAAAAAGTCATGGGTCTATTGAGAAAAATAATTTCACACATCAGGTTGGTTTTTCTCCTCTAAGAAATGTTAAGATAGTATACACTTAATCAAAAAAATCTATACTGTCAGATCTAGCTGTGCCACCAGCTGAGTAATTTGGGTAGCTAAATTAACTCCCTGAATTTTAAATTCCTAATCTGTTAAGAAAAGCTAATAATAGCTTCCTCAATGAATCACTGACTATGAGATGAAATAATAGATATTGAAGATAGGGTGTGGTTTTTTTGTTGTTTTTTAGACAGCGTCTCACTATGTAGCCCAGGCTGGCCTAGAACTCATGTCAGTCCTCCTGCCTCAGCCTTCCAAGTGCTAGGATTACAGGTTTGTATCACCACACCTGACAAATATTAAAGAATTTTATAGACTATATAGTTCTATACCAAGTGGTAAGAGAAGCACATATCCATTTTCTCAAGTGGCTAGCTAACTAGATAAGTGTTTCCCAAAGTAGATTCTAGAAAATACTTGTTCCATGAAGTGATAATAAGTATTACCTGAAAAAAACAAGTTCCATGGATTAGTAGTTTACCTTTAAAAAAATGAAGATGAACTCCTTCATATATGGTAGGACTTTTCAAAGACTTCAACCTATTACTATATATTAGAAGTCTTTTTAGTAGGGCAGTATGGCCAGGGATTTAGCTCAGTGGTTCCAGTGCCTGCCTGGCAAGCACAAGGACCCAAGTTTGATCCCCAGTACTTCCCCCCAAAAATAGGGCAGTAAACTCTATAATGTTTCTACATTAATTTGAATATAGAGTTATTTGTAGTAGAAGTTCCTACTAGAAATTATATTTCTCAGGATACACTGTAGAAAACAACACAGTGGACTGAGGGAAATTAGATAATTGACATATTTTCGAATGGTATTTCAAAATACTCTTAACACTGTCAGCATTTAACATGGCAACCTGCCCCCATAGGAACTTTCGAAAGAAGATGCCACCTATCCTAGGTGTTACCACGCAGTTTCATGCATGGTGGCATATTTTAACTGGCCTTGGTTCTTATCTTCACATCCTGTTCAGGTAAGAAACATTTAAATCTGATATTGGAGGGGTTTTGTGTTTTTTTTTTTTCTCCTTTGAATAGGATGATATAAGTATAAAATGTTAGAGACAGAATTAGGAATTTATGTTCCAGCTTTGCTTCTGACACTGGATGACATTAAGAAATCCCTTTTTTGGGATTTTATTTTTAATTTTTATTTTTTATTCTTATTAGTACATGATTGTAGTACATAATGATTACATTCATTGTAGGGAGTTGGTATATGTACATAACAAATCTTAATTCTCTTTATTTCCGCTTCCCCTCACTTCTCTCCATCTGCCCCAATCTTTTACTCTCCTTCCCATTTGCAAAAGATCTTGTCCTTGTTTCTATTATCTCTTTTATTTTGCTTTTTAAATTACTTATACTTTGGATTTCTCATATAAAAGAAACCATGTAATATTTAAGCTTGTAGTCTCACTTATTTCACTTAATACAATTGTCTCAAGGTGCATTCATTTTCCTACAAATGACTCAGATTTATCCTTCTTTTATGGCAGAGTAGTACTCCATTGTGCTCAATTTTCTCATCCTCAAGTAAGGATATGAATCAGTAGTGTGATATGAATCATATCCAGCATTGGTGGAATGCTCACTACTAAATTATAAACATCCTAAGGTCATTTCCCTGCCTTCCTTAGCATCTTACCAAGTGCTTTGCAAAGAACATACTCCAAAAAATAGTTACTGAATGAACAAAAGATACATCAATGTTGTTTTTTCTTTATGTATACAAAGGCACTCTGATTAAATTTGTCAGTAAACTAGTTTTCAGGGATTAAAAATTAGCCTGAAGAATTTTCCCCTTCCCCTTCTCTTTCAGTTTATATACAAGAACACTTTACCTGAGATACAGGCCAAAAGTGAAAGTAAGTCTGCATCCTTGCTGGGTGGGAAGAGTGTGGGGTTGTGTTTTGGCAGGGAGGGTATTGGGAGGATGGGACTGATGGGATGTACGAGAAGAAAGTGGGTGTGGAGAAGTTGTGGAGCAAACACAGACTTTGGACCAGGTACATTATATGGTGTTTTTAAGGATTAGAGATAATTGCTTACCTCCATGCTTGACAGATTTATAGATACCTAATACATTTCATAAATTAAATGAAAATAGTGTCCAAGATCTGGTGCAAGGAGCTTGGTGGAAGAGTATGCTGTGTTTAGGCTACTTAATACCAAGGTGGTCTAGCAAACCTACCATGTATATAGTCATAGCCCAGTGGATTATTTTCCTTATTGATTTCAGGGATAACAATGTAGAGCAATTCTCTCATTTTGTCCTAACTTGTTTTTTACAGTTTTTCTTTGGAATATGGCCAGTGATCATGTTTGAGCCTCTCAGGAAGCACTGATGATTATTCCATGAAGAGAACAAAAAATACCTGCATATGCCTAACAGGATGATAAGAAATCCTTAAAAATCTACATATTAAAATACACCATGACCATCGCAACAGAGGAGTGACTTAGACTGGTGCTGCCAACCACACAGAGAATGAAGAATTAATCCGGGTTGGTGTTTTGCACCTGGCTTTGTCTTATTTGTCCTCCTCATCTTCATCCTGAGGTGTTTATAAAGAAACAGATAGGATTTATATTTATGCTTAGAGTGCTGGGGAAATTGAGCTTTTTTTAACAGGTTAACAGCTTGTGCTGGTCATAGGAAATTAACTATTTTCTCTTTTTTGGTAAGGATTGCATGTGAACTATATCTTTTTTTAACATTAAATAAGGAAAACAGTCAGTAAGGATGGCAGTGCCCAATGTCCAGATGGTCACTTGTGAGCCAGCATTAAGCTGTGTCAGCTTTGGTTTCTGCTGTTGTCATGTTAACCTCATAGATGGCTTTCCAAGATTAAAACACACACACACACACACACACACACACACACACACACACACACACTCTCTCTCTCTCACAAACTAGTTATGGATTTCTAGGCATTTTTTCCATCATCTGTCTCAGTGCTAGTCAGAATATCATAAAAAGGCTCAGACCTGCCCCTGGGTTCTATACTTGTCATTTCCCAGAATTTGCTATGAGCTCTGGGGTGTAAGAGCAAATGGAACAAATAATAGCAATGGATCTAGTATCCCTTCTGAAGCTTCACCAGAATACCTAGAAAACACTACACCTCCAGCCAGTTAAAAGTATTTGCTTTGTTTCCTTTGGCAGATCTTTAAGTTGCCACTGTTTTTATGTTAAGGGAAACATAACTGATGGTCTAGCCACTCATATTCTACCCTTATAGCCTAACTTATTTGAAATTATCAGACAATGTCAGAAAATTAAGGCTTTTTATATTGTACAGTATTTTCCAGCTTTCAGAGGGGCCATGGTTATGCCCAGAGAAGTATGTCAAGTTAACTGAAGTAAAATGGTCAGGATCCTAGTTACATAAAGTTTTTTTTGTTGTTTGTTTGTTTGTTTTTGTACTGGGGATCAAACTCAGATCCTTGCACTTGCAAGGCAGGCGGCAGAACCACTAAACTAAATTCCTGGCCCTGCTCCTTCATTTCTAATTGTTTATGTTTTCATTTCCCCTGTGGTATGGGGGGTCAAACTCAGGGCTCTGCACATGCTAGGCAGATACTCTACTATTGAGCAACATCTCCAGCTCCAACTTCATTTTTTGAGGGAAATAGATACAAGCATTGAGAACAGCTCTAACTTATAACTTGCAAAACAGTCCAAAGTTGGAGTGATAAGAAATAGCAGTAAAATATCATTGTAAAGTATCTAGTTCTAATTTGTTTGAATGTATAACAAATTGAATTATTTTTCACCAAAAAAAAATGGACAAATACAGTAAGTCCCTGTTCAGGGAAAATTTTTGAAAGTTGGATTCATTTGAAAGTCTGACAAAGTGAGCGTTATATACCTTTGATATAAATATATAATGTAAAGCATAAAAAAACAAACAGAAAAATACAGTAAGTCCCCAACTGTACTGTACTAATTTATACTATCCTCCTGTACAGTAAACACACAGCAACACAACTCAACTTGTGACAATGTCTGGCAGACACATGTGGTACACACCTGTAATCCCACCTACTTGGCAGGCTGATGCAAGAGGTTTGTGAGTTCAAGGCCAGCCTGGGCAACTTAGTAAGACCCTTAAAAAAAGGAAGATTGGAGTGTGTCATGATGCTAGCCTATTGAATGCTTGCCTAGCCACACAAAAGGCCCTGGTTTGATCCGCAATGCCACAAAAACAAACCTGTTTTGCTGATCTTGACTTCCAACTCCATTCACTTGTAATACTTTGGGTTATTACTTTTAATTCATTTGTTTCACACCATTATATTTTTACACTGTTCAGTCAAATATTCTTCTGAATAAAGAATCCATATATAGGAATAAAGCCACATCCTTCATCACAATACCAATTTGTAAGACTGAGTTTCTGCAGTGTTAAAGTCAGACTAAGAGTATGGAATGTACCCTGAGACTGACATCATTTAGAGCAGTTTGTTGAATGTACAATTCAGATACCACCATCTATGGTCAATTGTTGAATAAAATATTTCTGTACCTCACTTATAGAGGTATTTGCATCCCTGAGTAATATGCAAGACTACAACCAATTCTGTAGAGATCTTTATTTCTTTTGGGAGGACAGACAGCATGAAAGCTCAGAATAACATTTCAGATGTGTTGAGCAGAAGATGAAACCAGACTTTAATTTTCCTAGTCAATTTGTGCCTCTCAATAAAAAATGAAGTGGTACCTTCAGACTTTGTGCTACATTATATTGAAATCACTGTTGATATACAGGCTACTGCTAATTCACTTTTATTTCCATAGTTTTGTTTTTCCCTTCTTGGATTATGCCTTGACTTAACAAGGTTAAATGCCCACCCACCCTTCCCTTCTGTTTGCTTAGAAAACTTCCTGTTAACTAGAATGTACAGAAAGCCTGTTTCCTACTAAGCAAATAATGGTTTGTTTGCAGATGTAAAAGGTCTTCATCTATAAGCCCAGAGCAAATTACATTTTAAAAAACATTAATTCGTGAGGATATGAAAGATGCAATTTGCTTGCATGCTTGAATATGCTGTATTACAATTTTTCACTCTAGAAAACTAAAAAGTTTGACTTTTTTTAAAGGGAAAATTAGGTAAAAAGTGTATTGTCCTGATTGGTCACTTTACCCACTCCCTCCCAATCTTGGCACCTTCATAAACTATCCCTACCACCTGATGATTGATGATTAACAGAAAGATCATTTGTTTTTAATAATCTCTAAATAGGAACCCATAGAGTGACATTTGGTTGATAAAAGTAGTTCAGAGATAATGATTTTGCCATAATGCAAAATTCCAGGACAGTCTAGGCTTTCCTTGTACAAAGAAAGTTTTTCTTATATTAAAGAAAGAGATATCTGTCAAAGAAGCTTCAGTACTCAATGCATGGAAATTTTCAGAGCCTGTTATAATACCAGCACCTTCTGAATTTAGCCAGTGCCCTTTAGTGTGTGTAATAATTAACCTTTCTTATGAGTCCTATGGCTTCCATATTACTTTGCTTTTGAAAGCAATTATTTGTTACAAATTAAAACTCCTGGCTGTACATTTCAGTGACAGGATACTCTTGTGGTTTATGATGTACTACTGTATACGCATTTGTATAAAACTGTTGTTTCAAGGAGAGTCAGTTATAATTTGAATTGGCAACTATGTGGCAGGTCTACCTCTGTTGTAACCTTTGCTTCATTTCCTGGAATGATGTAACTAGTTTGACCACTTTGCCATTTTTCCATTGTCTGAAATGACAACTTATTCACTGTGCTCTAACCATTTGCAAATAACAAAAATTTCATCAAATGTACTTAAAACCCTTTATGGAAGGAACTGTGAAATGGGGTGGGGGAATTATATCATCATTATCCATCAGACTGGAAAATTTTAATGTTGTATTTGTTCTTGTTTTGTTTTTGAGACAAGATCTCCTTACATAATTCAGGCTGGCCTTGAACTCCAGATCCTCCTATCTCAACTTACAAAGTACTATAATTGCAGGTGTGAATCACCATGCCTAGCTTCAATGCTGAGTTGTTTGGAATAT